AGATCAGGCCATCTCTAATGGCAATAGTCAAAATAGAAGAATGTGTATAGGCCATGTAAGTCATTTCGCAACATTTAAATTAGATAAGAGTACTGCGCACTAAGAACAATCTACAACTGATCCGGTTCTTTGATTCTGTTCTCTGCGCATATTTTCTACGCATCTCAAATGTGATTGGTCGATCTTATATGCTGCATGCCCAATGGTCATTTGAAAAACACGATAGAATTTCCCCAGGGGGCATTGTGTTCCGAGTTTGGACCCTTTTGCCCCTCTATGAAAAGTAAATTTCTTTATTTACATATGTTTCGCCCATACATTTATCTTTTCCATATTGGCCGCAGCAGTCCATGATCATACTTTAATATTCATCGAATAAATATGACCAGTAATTATTTCAGACGTGTCATGGTGTAGATTTAAAGCAACTGCCTAGGATCATGGTACGGATGTTCCTTATTCATACTAAATAGTTCACAGCAATGATGATGATGCCTAATGTCGGACTAATGGAAGGGTGTTCTAATCGACAGGTATCATGGGAAACATCTTTTATTTTGTGCATGCGTGGAAACGAACCGATTCAGTTACAGGACCGAACCGAATCAGTTGTAGATTGCCCTTACTCAGTACGGGAGTACGGGAGAAATGTTTGTAAATGAACTTAATACACAATATTGGCCCCAGGGATAGGAATTTGACAAGGAAGTTCGTCCCGGTGTGAAAGAAATTATGGTCCCTAGGGATTATGGTGCCCTTTTTAAAAGCCCTTACTGGCCCTGATTGTGTATAAGATAATAAGGGAAAGAGGTCATCATATTAATCAATGGAGAGTAGGACCATAAATTAATAGGACCTCCTACCCTTTTACACCGGCGCCCGGCCGATTGAGTAGTTTCTTAAAAAATGAATACAATTTTTATCGACATACTCAATCGGCCGGGCGCCGTAGTGAAAATCGAAGCAAAGTACTGCATCTGTATCTCTCAACATTCATGAGTTTAGCCTCTTGACAAGTAATTTTGATGTATACATATAGTAGATTCGGGGGAAGGGCCCGGGGATCGGGAATATTTGACCAGATATGCTCCCATGGTGGCCCCGGGGTAAGGAACAAGACAGGCCAATTGTATATTAGCGCCAAGTCTTATTTTATAACTACGTTTGCAATATTGTGCGAAATCACACATGATCGTACGATGCCACCGATAGCCGTACGTACGATAATCGTACGGTGACCATACGGGCGCCGGCGTGTTAGACTCTGATTAGTTTAATTGAGAAAAACGGTTAGACATCTGCAACTTTTATGTGCGAGGTAAAATTCTCCAAGCGCCCATACAATGCCTAAAAATCGACTAATTGTTGTCGATGCCCGTACAATTTTGAAAAATACTAATTCAAGCCGATTTTAATTGAATCTTATATGACCTTGGGGGTGGATTATATAGTGGGAGAGTTGTTGTTATAGAATGTAATGCAAAATCATTAATTTTCGTAACCTTCAGCGATAAAAAAAACCCTGAAAATCAGTAATTTTTCTGGTGGTGATGTAATTTGACTTCATTGGCTATACCTCCAAATAATTACAATAGGCCGAAAATTTAAGATGCATGACAAACATTCTATATATGATGTATTCCATTTTAATTTTTCGAATTCATCATTTTTATTATATAGCAATTTCTTCACGGGCAAACTTTACTTTTGAGTACCAAAGGTTTTCGAATACACATCTCTATACAGACATTCGATTTTTATTTTTTGACCTTCTATACAGGCAATCTAGCGAAATAATTTTTCTTGGCCACATAGACATTTCTATACAGTGTTTCGATTTTGATTTTTCTACACTATCCTTATAGAAATTTCTATACCAGCAACCATACTTTAAATATGCACCCACATAGAAAATTCTATATATGAAGCGTTTCAATTTATATTTTTGCCTTTATCCATATAGAAATTTCTATACAGGGAGAAATATTTTACCAGTAACAGAATTAGTATTTTTCGTTGGCCTTCACATAGAAATTTCTATACCGTATAGAAATATATCCATATAGAGATTTCTATACAAGGAGAAATATTTTACCAGTAACAGAATTAGAATTTTTCGTTGGCCTTCACATAGAAATTTCTATACCGCTAACAAAATGTTTATCAATAACAAAATTAATATTTCCAGCGTCATCCGCATAGAAAAGTCTATACGCAAAGCCAACGGAATCTTTTGAATAGAAATTTCTATCTGAGGATAGTGTATTTGTAAATCTAGTTACAAGCTACATAGAAAATTCTATACGATAAAAAGAAACGCAACTTTACTAGACATTCTCATGAATACGTGTTAATAAAATTATTTAAACTTCATCTGTTTCGATGAAATATGAATATACTGTGTTAAAATATTGTAAATGAAATACGATAATAAAATATTGACGGTTCTAATATATGAATTACACTGCTGTTTTTTCGTTTTTGGGTTTACAGAAAGGGACTAAACGGTTCATTCTCTTTTTAAATGGTCACGACTTTATAGAAGCTCATTTACTGAAAATTAATCACTAAATAATGGCTAATTTGGGGTAATCTCTGACCGAAAATGACTAGATTTGACCTTTTTTTTGTTTCATGGTTCAGTGATTTTGGCAATAAACATTATGGAAGTACGAATAAACGTTTTGACATGCTAAATATTGTAAATTTTTGTTAAGCCATAGCGAGTAGCAGTATTTCTATTGCAAAAATGGTCAGTTATGTATAAAACTGCATGGCCCTAAAATAAATGACCCCGGGGTTAACAAAGCAGCTATAAAAGCTCTTCTATTGGTGCGATTGGGCTTAAATTTCACAAAAAGTCTTGAAACACTCTAATATTTAAGAAAAACAAGATTTCTGGCACAAAATCATTCAACCGTGTCACTATTAGAATATAGTCCGGAGTAGGGATACTAGCGGTTACCGTTGGTTATTTGGTTTTCTGTATAAAAAAGCCTTTTCTCATTTTCTGTCCCGTCGCAGCGCCATCTAGTGTTTGATAAATGAATCAAGTTTTATTCTCGATAGGGTAAGTACTAATCTATCAGGAAACATTTACAAGTTTGGTTAGAAACAGAATTTTTATAGATGGCGGAGTGATTTTTGAGACTATGTAGAGCAGAATAATTTTCTGAAACAGGTAGCTTTACGGTGGTAGCTCTCTCCAGATTCAGTTATCTCAAAAACGGTGTGGTCACCGTATGCTTATTTTGTAACGGCAAGCTAGACAAGACTCCAATGAACACTGGGCACTGTTTCGCTGAGCTAGATCTGTGCCCATGAATATATTATGAAATGAAACGTTATTATGGTCGTCAATGGGATTTTTTACTGCAATCTTGACCCTTCACGTCTGCTTTGCCTTCCTGCTTTAGCTGTTTGATACATGCTTCAAATACTTTGGTACTAATTATTGATTGGCCTAGCAATTCATACAGACGTCTTGATGCCATTCTGCCCGGTCTCACGGCTCTGGTTGCAAATGCTAACTTGCCTAACAGCGATTCTAAATCGTGTTGTCGTATATATTTACATTTCCTGTATTTGTTTACTAAAGTGCGAAGGTCTGTCAATTTATCTAAAGGTAGCCGAGCTTCCCATTTGACGGTATCCAATTCTATTCCAAAAACTGTCATAACTGTGTCTGGACCACATGTCTTTGATTGCTTAATTGGCAAATTAAGTCTTTCGGCAATTGCCAAAAATGTTTGAAGGTCTCTATCGCATTCGTTCGATCCCGGTGGGCCGATTTTAATAAAGTCATCTAAATAGTGTGCGACTGATCGTATGTTAAATTTGTGACGTGCAATAAATTCAACAGCAGTACTAAAACATTCAAATATACTACAAGATGATGCACAGCCTTGAGGTAATGTTTTATCAAAATAGTAATGACCGTCCCACAATATGCCTAAGGGATGGTGATCTGATGGATGTATTGGGATAATTTTGAAACTATTTTCTACATCTGTTTTTGCAATAAGTGAACCATGGCCATTGTCTTGAATTAGTTCTATTACATCATCGATACTTTGGTATTTTACTGCTGAATCAACTTTTGAAATGCCGCATTGACAGATGCTACATCTGGATAGCTAAGGTCATGTATTGTTCTGTATTTATTTTTCTCTTTTTTGGGAATACGACCTAAAGGACTTAATATAAATGCTTCATTAAATTCTGGTGGTATTTAACTAAAAGGGCCTGCCATTCTTTTTAATTGTACTTCATTTTCTAAATATGTTTTGATTTCAGATTTGGCAAGCATTGCTGAATTATGATTCCTTACTTTCTTATTGGGGTTAATTTGTTTAGTGTTGTCAAATTTAATATTGAATCCCGAGGTGAAACCTTGAATTAGGTATTCCGATTTTTTTTAATCGTAGCCTTGGAGAAAGGCCTAAGCACTTTAGCATTGATTGGAGTTGTAACGCTTGGGTCATATTGCATAACAAGCTCAGAATCATTTTCTTCACGTGGTTGTGCATTGTGTACTGGGGTTGTGATCTTTGTTGCATTTTTTGCATGTGTGTATATAGGCACATGATTTTCCTCGAATGCATTTTCCTGTGTTAGCGAAGTTGTAGCAATGGCCTTCCGGGACTGGATTGATGAGTGAGTTAGACTTAGATTGGCCTCGAAAATAAGATGTGCTTGCATTGGGTTTTGTTTTTAGGGAGATTCCTAAATTATTGTTTTTGTATTGCCTAGATTTCGCTCTTGCTCTGTCAACAAGGTCTATGTTGCGAACACCCCAAGTTAATGGAACAGACTTCTTATGCAATCTAAAATTTTCATCATAGGTTTTTGCTATGCTCGGACAAAATGTCCTTCACATCTTCCATATATTTCACGAGCCCCCCTATTTGTTCGTGGTGTACTTTGCAATATATTGCGACGAAAACATGAGAAGCCGAGGACCACTGGTCAAACGTTTTTATTTCAATGCGGGGTTTTGATGGATTTGCAACAACTGACGACGTTTGTTTTTTGATCGTAACGGTTATATCTATTTCACCAGGTATTTTTTCCAAAAGATGTGCAATATCAATGTATTCGTCCGAAACTATTTTGATTTTGAGTTTTTGACTAATCCCACTGTCGAGTGGAATGCCTGATGATAATGGTAAAAATCTTTTTGATTCTGCATTGTTTGCATCAGACGAAGGTTCCTGATGAATTGTGTTAGATGATGTGTTCGTATTATTCAATACTGTTTGTTTTTCGATAAGTGCGCTAATCGTCGGCATTAGTTTTCCCACAACTATTTGTACTATTTCGTCACTGCTTTTTGTGGCGTCCTGACGTTGACGTTTTTGACCACCTGACGAATGTCTAGAGGTGGCTTTCCTTTTTGGAGGCATTAGTACCTGGAAGTAATTGTTTTTGGCAGTACATTGACTTTATAATAAAACTCGAACGTCGATTTTAGGTGTGTGAAATATTATGCCACAAATGTTTTAATTATAATTAACAAAATGTGTCAAAGTAGGCAGTAATGTATTTCGTAGTGCTACTGACATTACGAAGGATTATAAATGTAATAGATGTATTATAAGCTATGTAAATGAAGGCCATAATGCTACTGACATTATGTCCATAATGCTACTGACATTATGGTAAATTAAAATGATTAGATGATCATCATTTAAAAAATTGAAACGCTTCATACTTTGGCAGTATAATGCGAATCTAGTATTATAACATAGTCTCTTACCATTTACTGATAGTAAGAGTATTAACGTATTTTCCGGTATTAACAGAAATGCTTTCTATTACTGATAGAAAGAGTATATTAAGTATTTTTTGCTACTGACAGAAAAGCCTACTTTGACTGATATTGTAATTTTGTGGTTGTGGACTTAAATGTATATTATAAATAATTAAATACATAATAATGCTTTTTTAAATTATATTAATGAATGAATTAATTAATCAATGTTGCTAGCAATATAGCAAAGACACAACTCACTGTAGTAATTTACGTTTTGAGAAAATAAGGATCCTTTTTAGATTTGTGGCAAATTTTTCATTGCCTAAGTCCGAAAGATGAATGCCCTTTGAATCATACAATGTCGTGACTTCGTTGTAGAATCCTTGATTTGGAAATACAAAGATGCGCTCATATTTGACTCCAATGGAATTTAATTTAGCATTGAACAATAATCGGCGGCTTTCATAGTCTTCATAAAAAGTGTTTGTCAGTGTAAGACGTTTGAAAGCATGACCAATGCATACAAGTTTTATGCTGTCAAATCCTTCAAGGAGAAAGTTAGCTATGCTTTCTACTTTTGTAATAATTTTATCTATGTCGCAATGACGCACATCCAGATCATTTCCGCCAAACTGTAAGTATACAACCATCGGCGAAAATGCTTTTACCTCTTCAGACAGATATGCTGATAACATTTTCTTTTGATATTTCGATTTCGATCCCAATCTCCAGTGGAAACTGCCGCCTCGGATGCCTCGAAAGTTCAATTTCAATGAGTCATCTAAATCCAGATTTGTTTTATTTTTCAGTTGATAATCATTTAACCAATGTATTAATGAATGGCCAAATATAAGAATTCGAGTCTGTGCCATATTGCAGCTTTATAATTAAGATAACATATTTTTATTTAATAACTGAAAGTGTACTCACACTTTGATGTAGTGTCCTGGGTAGTATATTTATATATATCCTGTCCAAGTTTTCAGATTTTAATCAAGTTTAAATTTCAATATTTATACGTATACATAAAGTGAGTTCGTATTCTCTCACTGTAATTGTAAGACTGCTTGATACTTGTGTTGGAATGGAATACTGACCAAGCAGTCCCCTCCTTCTCATTGGATAACCCTGTGTTACTATGGAAACGCTCAGACCACAAAACCGCTTATTGGCATAAGTGTAGAATATATGTTCATATACATTTTAAATGATAAATATTAAATTTGATGTAAATCCAAGATTTCAAAGGTTTTATTTGAAGTTTCAAATTGTACAATTTGAGTTACTGAACGATGTAGGAATTGTTTATACATTGTTATTGAACTCACGATTTTTTCACTTGGCATCTTTTGAGGTGGATGTCGCCTTTGGCATCAACGTTGAAAATTGGGATCGAATTCGAAACCTGCCATAGTTTCTCCTGACGACCATTGTGGATTATTATGCTCAATGGATTATGGCGCGACTGCGAATGGATGTGTATATTATTTAAAACGACTTTGAGACGACTGGATTTGTTCTATCCCACATCATCTGAGACTGAATGCTCTATCTTGTTTGTATACTTGAATCTACAACAATTTTCGATCATGATGCGTATTGGCTATCAATTTCAAATTCTTTCTTCAACATGTACCACGTTGTTCAATAAGTTAAAATAAAAATCCACTCATTTCAAAGGTTTTTTGTAATTTTTTCATGAAATTTTCACATAACATCCAAAAATATCAGCATCTCCGATTTAATTGGTCAAGCATAACGGTTGCTATGGTATCTTGACTTTTGGATAGGCGGGGCACTTTTTACGTCACACTTTTTCATCGAAAAACAACATAATAGTAGGCAAAGTTACGAGTGAATCTGGACTGCAGTTGAAAGTTCTTTCATTGTTCCGTACATGTCTTAACTTTGATCAGTGAAAGCTTTTCCTCTTTCGAATTTAGTCATCACGGAATCTCTCTTGTGCCTTTGATGATGTCATGATCAATCACACTGTGGCTAGTCGAAATATGTGGATGCGGTCATGTACATGTAATGTATCGTAAGTGCCCGCGTACATTATAGGGCATGGGGTCATTGTAAAAAACAGCAACTCGAGGTTATTAACATTGAGTCTTGAAATATTGCGTATATATATATATATAGCATGACAATATCGGAACGTTTCAGCAACTACATTCCTGTAATAGAGAAGATATTTGAACAACAGTTCGCAAACCTAAACATATGAGGGTTGATCACAAAGTTCTCATAATATCACTCTAATTTCTTTATTTTTCAATATATTCTAATGAAATTTTGAATAGACATTCCTCATTCAGTGAAGCAATTGACCGCCCATTTCAAGACACCCTTCTGAAGAATTGAGAATTGATAGACCAGATATAAATCCATCAACCGGAAAAAGCTGTACAGAAAAAAAAACTATGATCTCATCCCTCATACTGTGAACTTGAAAAATGGGTCCATGTCATGCAATGATCATGATGAAAATATTGAATCATGACTGTACATCAATCAAGTGAATTCAGAGCCAAAGACTCATCAATCCACTGTTTTACCCAAAGATCAAGTTCCAGAGCCATTTACATCCCTTTACAGTGACGACGAGCAATCAACGGATGGACCATCCGTAAATCATGATGATTTTGTAAGCTCAGCTGAACGAGCCTACAGATTCCTTTAAACAAATGATTCAAATTCAAGAATACTAATATCGATTTACAATTTTTTGATATAGTGGTAAGTGGAGTCTTTCCAATTACCAATATAGCATTGTTATTGTTTTGAACACAGTGGATTATAACCGCTCCATGTACCTAGCAAGTAAGATACAGAAAGGAAACTAAATATATTTGGTTTGTGGGCTTTCTGTTTCATGGGACGTTTTTTAAATAAGAGGCCATTCATTTTAACTTTTAATTCTTATGTTAATAAAAATTGTCCGGGTCAACACAGGCTTCAATAAAAGTATTGCAGGGGCACATCAGTGGAGAAGGCCATGGGTATAATATTTCTTAATTAAACATTCTGTGTTATAATACGAAAATCCATGAAGAATTGCTTTATTACAAACTGACATGTATGCTAATTGTGTTTAATGATAATTTTGAATAATCTTGTCGGAATTCTGGCCGACCTAGCACTTTACTTTCTTGTCCATCATCGTCTTAAAGATATATACTATGAGATTTAAAGTGAAATCCCTATTAGATCTAGTAAACATATAATGTAGATTTTTCCTGATATCACACATGAGTTTATCACCAGGCATCAAATGCGCACCATATACTATTGTTAATACCTCAACTGAAATACTTGATTCTGATTGGTTGATTAGCGGTCAACAATATGTACTTGATTGTATACTGTAAAAGTCCATTTTTGTTGTATTTTTGTTTCAACTCAAGTTTATATATGTAACCATAATTATTTCTTCTTATTGCATTTGGTGAAAGCTTTTAAAGAAGTGAAATATCAAAAATACACAAATTCAAAATAATTTAATTATAACCTAGTCAGTCTGATAATTGAATCCAAAAATAACGTCGACTGATCCACATGATACATCATAATTAAATTGATTTTTTAAAATGAATATCTCATACCATAGCCCCTAAAATATCAACGTGTTGGATATGTATTTTACTCCACACAGACATTTTGGATATGGGAAATAATTATATTACTTGAATTTTCTTTTCTCCGTTATAAAGTAAACCTACATGGCAATTTATACAAACCTCACAGCTGTGAGCGAGATGATAAAACGGGTCAAGTGACCTCGTTTGAGTTATCTATTCGCCGTAAAATATCACCGAAAGTGTGTTTATAGGCTAGCTCTGGTTTGGTAAATCAATGAAATATGATATCCTCGGATGAGTAAATATAGATCATTTAAACAAAAGTGCAAAATTCTTCCATTGAAGAGAACAGAGGCAGTTACTAACGATACATTACATGTATATGACTGCATCCAGATATTTCGACTAGCCACAGTGAATCATATGGGAAATACAAAGTCTAGTTGAAGTGTGACAGTGCTGTCATTTAGTTGTTCTAATTTCTAATCTCGCCCCACTTATGAATCTTATCTCAGTCTTTCATACGAACCTAAATTCACAATCAGAGGAAGTATATTGTATTTTGAGATATCGTTGCTTTTCGTTTTAATTACCACCAATCAATTACCATTGATCTGCTAGAGTAGAGGGGTGGGGTTGCTGCTTCCACCACTGCTCTCTAACGACCCAGTTACATTTGACCTACGGCAACCGTATCTTTACAAAATCGAAAGAAATATGCAATAATTTTTAATATAGGGATGAGAATTAAGTACAATGTAAATTATTTATATCGATTTTGTAAAGTTACAGCTGCAAATGTGAACGAGGCGGGCGTACGAGCGTACGGCAACCGTAGCTTCCCAAAATCGAAAGAAATATGCATCATAATTATAATTCATATATAGGGATGAGAAGTACGATGTAAATTTTCTATATCGATTTTGTGAAGTTACATCCGTAAATATGAACGAGGCTTAAGCACAGGCCTATCAAAGTGTCGACTATAAAGTATGTAATGAGTCATGTGTGAAATGTGTGTGATGGGCTTGCTGAAATACTTTACATATGAATCAACCTGTAATACTTAGAGGTTATGTCACTATCTTTGCATATATGCCCGAGGGTTTCAGTGATATATGGCCCGACCTTGGGAGGGACATTGATCACTGAGAACCGAGGGTATATGTGCAACGATAGTGACATAAACGATTTCTATGATGATCTAGTCTGGTCAGAGAGTACCATTTTCTTATCTAATTGACTAGCAATGGTTCGGAAATGATGATTTATTCCCATGTTTGTATCTTACGAATGTACGAGTCAATTTGACCTAGGCCTAATGTATGACGTAGTAACAGCGCTTGACCAATCAGAAAGTTAGCGGGCGCGGGCTTTTCAAAAGTTATATTGGCCCGCTGCCTTGTGAAGAGTTTACACTATACATCATCATAGGTATGTTATAATATAAGTTATTGAATGATTTGAAGTGCAATACAGGATATATTCTGCTCGAGAAATTTTGTATTTGAACGAGACGAAGTCGAGTGCTAATACAGAATATCGAGACAGAATATATCCTGTATTGCACTTCAAATAAGTCAATAACGTTTTTATCGTGTGATCCTCTGTATTGCTACTGAGATTGTCCCCTTTGTACCAATAGTTTCTGTATTGGGACGGAGATGATCAACGGGGACAATCTCAGTAGCAATACAGATTGGTACAGCACAAGGACTGACCGATCAGAAGGCTTCATTTTACAGATCATACGATAAACAATGTATAGGGGTGCAATGGGTCATAATAAATCATTGTATTTGATGAATCCTGTTAAATAATGGGGATGATGTGCCGGATGATGTGAAGGAGTGTGCGATCGATGGGATCATATGTCATGTGAAAAATGTAAATGATGAAATGTGTTAAAATAGAGCGCATTGAGTCATATGAATTAGAGTACACAAAATGTAGGGAAAATAATGTGCAAAGAACAGTACGGAAACGGCACAATGGAAAGAGGGTAATGGATCATAGGAAGTGAATATAGCTTAAGAAAATATCTATCTTGAAGAAAAACACTTTAGGTTTTCACTGACGTGAGATGGAGTTCGAACTTAACATGTTTTGGAATGTAATGACTCGTTTACTGTATATGTACAAACAAGTCCAACACCCTGCCACGTTATCATGCAACACTTCAATCGATGTTACCGTAAAATGGTTTGCTATTTAAGATACTCATTATACAAAACCGTATAGTCTGTGCAAGGTCGGCATATCTAATACCCAGGGCTTAGTTGTGTACCAAACGAAACGAGAAACGACAGGACATCCGGGGCTTTGTTTGGTCCTCATTAGGGTCAATACAACCTACTTGACATTTGTTTTGTTTATGGTATAGGAAAAGTAGTACTTAAAACACTAGTTTGCTACTTTGTAGATGTATGGCACGTATAATGTTTGGTAATACACTGTAGCTAGCTAGGAGCGTCAGGGACCGCTGACAGATTATAATTTTGAACCCAAAAATTGAATTATATCTTTGGCGGTCTCAGTAAATTAATGGGATAATCAGGTCCTATGTGCTTTTTACAGACCCAAAAATCAATGCTCGCTTATAAATGTAGCAAAATCTTTTTTCGTTCGTGGGATTTTTCTCACCATATAACCGAGCGTGAAGTTTTTGAATAGGACTACATGATCTGAATGCAGGCCCGTAGCCAGGGGGGGGGGGGTTCGCAGGGTTCGGGCGAACCCCCCCCCCTGGCCAAAAATTCTTTCAAAATCATGCAGTTTTTCACCATTTTGAGCACTTCTCAAGTGATTTTAGCCATATTTGGGCCAAAATTGTCAAATGTGAACCCCCCTGGAATTTTTTGAAAAATGAACCCCCCCCCCCCTTGGCAAATCCTGGCTACGGGCCTGGAATGGATGGGAGGATTCGATGGGCTGGGATTTGAAAAATTATGATTTGAACTTTGTCAATTTTACATGTATTTCAATGGGTGAAAAAAGTAAGTTGCCAATGGTAAATGGTGTACAAAAAATTAATTTGATTGGCTAGTTCAAATCGGATGCGGTAAAAAACGAACGCCGATTTGCGAACGTTCCTGTGGCAAGCAGTGACTTCTCCTCATCCTCAAATGAATGATTCTACTTCTTATGCATTATGAAGGCACAATTTTAGATGTACACTTTCTTTCAAAAGTTTTTTTACAGGTTATGCCAATAAGAATTCAAATATAAAAAGACTTAAAACGAAGTCCAATGGAGGCGTTGAGGTGGCTTATTTTTTGGAGGGGCGGGTGTAAGTACATGTAGTATGTATCATGTTTTTTAAATATTTTCTCCAAACTCTGATTATGTAGACATCACGTCCTCATAACTATAAATATTGAAACACAATATTCAATGCAATGTTTAGGCTATATTTCATTTAAGTCCGAAAGCAATACAATGTGAATTTTAAATGTATCTCTCGACGTAGACGAGTCATGTGACAATATCTGGCTAATGTTACGATCGATCAGATATGATGACATGGCATACATGTATACTATTTAATTCGTGGCTAATGCTTGTATTCATATTGTGGTATTTCATAATCTTGGCGTCTTCAAGTTTGTGGCTCTCGGGCAGTCGTTTAAGTGCACACATTGGACACACATATCCCAGTAGAACCATCTGGCTTCTCGCAATCAAGTTGTCCTGTGATCCAATTATAACCGAAGACAACGTTCTGAGGGCTACTACCTATAAATTCAATTAAACACTTGTTGGAAATATTCTCCGTATAACACACCGAGTTTTTCTACGCATTGAAAAAAATAAAAATACAATTTTAGTAATATTGACCTCATAAACTATGGAAAAACACAGGATATGATTGGAGAAAAAATGCTACCTGTACACATTCCAAGGAAAATCTTAGTTTGTGCTTTTAATGTATGGTTTTAAGAAATAACCCAAATTACAGTACCAGGTCCATCAAAGCCCAAAGACAATGTATGCAGAGACATCTATTCATGTATATAGCATTTATTTTATAGAACTATAAATTTGACTGCCATAAATGCGGACAAATAGTGGTGTTCATTCTTTGAAATGATGATGTTATTGATGTTAACGCCATTCCCACGACTTCAAATTTAAATTTGCGCATGCGCAGCACTGAGAGAGTACGTGCTCATGACTGTTCACGTGATCACATTCTGCATTTTGATTGGAGATGATGCGGGAGATGACGTAATGGGGAATCCACGAATACGATAGAATATGAAAGAATTGTGGGAGCTACTCACACTTCTTCTGATTCTACTTCTCATACCAAGAAAGATTGGCTCCAAGAGGCAAAACAGCCCTTACAGTTCACGTCACCAAACTAGTCAATGGGCAAAAGGGCAAACGTCTGACTTTTTATCTCGAGTTATGGATTTATATTCCTTACTGGCCTATCTGAGGTTCTAAAGCTATGTCTAACCTTCACTTTGACCAGAGGCATATCAAACAGTTTTATATGTCTCTGCTTTGACACTAAACTCAATAGGGGCCAAACATCTACTTTTTGAGATAATTGATCAATTGCGACACTACCCCCTTTCTCTGCCGACAGAAAATTGAAATTCACAAAAATGAAGTCAAAATTAATACGCATTTTGACTCGAAATTTTCCTTCAGATAACCCAAATAAACGTATTTTCAGAAGAAATTGCATATTGTCATTGCAAAAAGATGACAACTGTACCTATATACTAGCTTACTGACTCGTCGGGATCACAATTGTGTTGGGACTACATTCATTTTTTAAAACTACTTTTTTCTGAAGTGACGTATTGGGGCATTTTGGCCAGAGTGCAAAATCGATATTCTGTCCAAGGGGGAGGGGGATTAACCCCAGAGTTAAAAGATGACATACGCTTATAATGTAAACCTGTATTGAGATGACATACACCTCTGATTGGTCCAAATCGATTAACAAAAATGGCGGATTCAAAATGTTCTAATAACGCTTCGAATAATATTACGTTGATTCATGGCGTATACACCAATATCATAGCTTGGTTTTTCACACCAAGATAAAGAAATATGTAAGGAATATGTTTAATCGATTAAAACATCACGACGACGCGTTATGTTCGAAAATTAACTGGTGAGAATTTGCACAAACGAAGGTGGTACGCAAGAGACGTATTATGTCTGTCATCGCTATCTGGGGCTTTCCCCTCTCTTATTCTGTCCCACATATGGAGATGTCGTGATTCAAAATTCGAATTCAAACAGCGGCCATTTTGTTCACTTCATCATCTGAATGAATTTTGTTCTTATTTCTAAAGGAAAAATTCCAAAACCCACAAGAAATGATCGAGATATTGGTTCGAATCTTTTGGAGTGTTTATTTTGAATTTATATTATAGTCGGTTATAATTTCAGAAAATATCCACATTTAGACGTTTTCAATGTTGGAAAATATCGAGCTTCGACCATGGGAGCCAATCCTCCTTGTTCTCATACCATGACCTGCGCACGAGTCGACATATACTGTAGCACACTTTTTTCAAGACACTATAACTTTTTTATATTCCAACCTACATACCCCAAACTTTGCAGTTATATAGTGCCAGGGGTTCTTAGTTGTAATATTATGCAACAAGTCCTTCAACTTGGATAATATTTGATCTAAAAGAGGAGTTCAACTGGTACGCCACCCTATTTGATGATAGATTTTAGTTTTAGTCGCCTTGCTGATATAGCAGTATCAATTGAACATTAGCTATTTTATTTTCAAAGTGTCTTAATTGCCAGCTTTAGTTGAGCAATATTTTAGATTGGGTGCCTTTATACAATCTCCTGGGGACCTTCCCATACCCTATACTCGCTGGGATTTGCATCAGGGCTATTAGCTTGCCGGTCATCAGGCCATATCAGTTCAGGAACATTTTGCAAATTATACTTATTTCACATGGCACACTTCATGTTTAAGTGAGACGTTGGTGACATATTTTATTCAAGTAAAAGTGTATAATTCATGATTCATGGCTAGACAACAACCTCAAGTTTCATTTGGTATGCAAATTATGATTTTGAACCAAAAATTGAAAAAGTTATAGCATTTTGAAAAAAAGTGGCGTTTTTATTTGGCCCACCCTGTATAACATTGTTTACCCCAAATGTCAAAACTAAACTTGCTATGGAAACGCCGGGTAAACATACCTGAACTTCTCTTCTTACTAGGTTTTTGACAGATTAAATAACAGGGAGGCAGACCGAAAACGCTGGGCTTTGGTGTATAGTTGTTGTAATAGTACGGCGTCCCAGTAAGGCCTGCAATTCTTTCGCATTCAGCAACCCTTGAGGACGAAGGTGGATCAGTTGCAGGACAAGCAGGTCTGTTCAAGCTGGCAGGAGCATCTCCGACATTAATGTGGTATTGTCCACCAACATTACCTGGTGAAACGTATCGGGCAACCTCGTATGTCTAAAATTTGTAGATACATGGAGTTTATGATGCGCCTATGATCTAAGTCTAAATGTGGCAGACCTAAATATTTATTCAAACGATAAAAACGACAAAACCATTTAATGGAGACATTACGCTAGAAATGCTAGAAATTGCTGTTGATAAATAATACTTTCTTTCATTTTATTTACATCAGGACAATATATAAATGTTATTCATAGTGCTAGGATGTAATATCAAATGAAAAGTGATCGTGAAACATTGACAAATAATGATTCAATCTTGTTGAGCCAGTTGATTTCTACGGGGACCTCAGAAATGAACAAATATCATAACTCCGAGTTATAATTTCTACGGCGACCCTGCGGGCTGTAAAAACTGGAAACGCCGTACGGAGACCGCAAGGCGAGCGTAGTTCTTCTACGCTCGCCGCAGAAATTCACTGATTTAATTGATCTGCGGTCGACGCACGGCCTCCGTACGACAAATGTGACTGGGGTGTAAGCGCGCATACAAAACAAGCGCTACTAACACCCCAGTCACATTTGTCGTACGGAGGCCGTGCGTCGACCGCAGATCAATTAAATCAGTGTATTTCTGCGGCGAGCGTAGGAAAACTACGCTCGCCTTACGGCCTCCGTACGGCGTATTCAGGTTTTTACAGGCCGCAGGGTCGCCGCAGAAATTATAACTCGGAGTTATAATATTTGTTCATTTCTGAGGTCCCCATAGAAATCAACGGGCTCAACAAGATTGAATCATTATTTGTCAATGTTTCACGATCACTTTTCATTTGATATTACATCCTAGCACTATGAATAACATTTAAAAATTGTCCCGATGTAAATAAAATGAAAAAAGTATTATTTATCAAAAGAAATTTAAAATTCATCGTGGGAAATGTGACTGCAAAAGTATGAGAGCGTAGAAATTCCACGGCGAGCGTAGAAATGTTACTGGCCGCAGAAATGATAGACCGCAAGGTCGCCGCAGGAAATGTGACTGGGGTGTTAGATACCCGATCAGTTTCAGCGCTGTGTTGTTTGCAAATATAGGTAAGACAGAAAAGTATTAACTCCGCCCCTTTCCCTTTTATGCTGAATACCATTCGTGAGAGTGTACCGTTAAGTGTTTAACATTTGAAGTGGGGGTTTCCTCGATTTTTCTACTCAATTTCTCGATGGATAATGGATATATTTGCATCATTCTTTCGTCAAATTTAAGATATGAACAGTGTTCATGTCAACAATCTTTCGATGAGTGGCTTAATCCATTAGTATTGTTTGTGTAATAAATCTCCTAGCGCTGGATTAGTTTTGTACGGAGTGTGGCGAATGTACAACGTCTTTTAATAAAATCACTATACTGATATCAGTACAAAAAACAACAAAAAATACAAAATTGTTATACAATCCCGCCATCTTTAAATTAATCAATAACTACTTCCATTGGTTTTGAGCATGGGTTTTCAATTAGAATTCTAGTAAAAAGTCACTAAAAACCCATGGTTTTGAGCCAATATAAAGATGATTGCAATACACCGTGAATATAGTCGAATTAATATTTTCTTATAATATTTCTATTGCCCTTAGCCTATGACAGGAGCACATGATAAATATTCAAAATACAATTGAGTACATAACAAACTATTGCCCATTCTCCCATACATGTATACTACATTATGAATAACAAATACACAAATTGCTCCCTCCAAACCGGAGTCATCAGGTAAAGAAATGTGGCCCCTTCCAGTATCCCCTGTATCAAGGGCCGGTGTAAAAGAAATTATGGTCCCCTGGGGATTATGGTCCCCTTTCTTAACGACCCTGCTTGCGTATAAGATAATGAGGGAAAGAGTTGTATTTAGGTCACCATATAAATCAATGGAGAGTAGGACCATAATTTGATAGGACCTCCTACCCTTTTACACCGGGATCAAGCATAAACTAGAAATAACCCCCTCCCCTAAACCGCTACCCCATCTACCATGCACGCCACTTGTATGTGAGAAAAAAACATGCATTTGTATATCTAGCGGTTATTATGTACATTGTCGTACAGGTTTCCGTTTCGATTTTATATGCATTCCTTAAAGTCTCCATTAATAGTTGCATGTCAATGGAATTTTACATCGATGCAATTAGGAATTTGACAAAACGAGAAATAATCAACTTTTGTCAGGTGTCCTAATGTTGTGAATAGTCTTCTGGCCCTACCAAAATCCCTACCAATACCCGATTAATTCACTTACTCCACTCGCACCAATTGCTCTTCCGAATCCAACCAGTGTAGTTGGCTTCCAAACCATTGCAGTAAAGTGCCCAGTTCCCTGTAACACATGATAACATAACACATTGGAGAGAAACCTAAGAACGAATTGCTCAGAATACAAGGAAAACACACCAATTCTGGTGGATAAAATAAACATAATAATAATAAGGCTTTGTATAAAAACCTCATACCCACCTACCCACGTACGTGGGACATGATACAGTCGTTGAAGGGTTCAATTTTAAAGATCTTATAGTTTTGAGCTATTTTGAGATTTAATAATCTTTAAAATTGAACCCTTCAATGACTGTATCATGTTCCACGTAGGTGGGTATGAGGTAGGAGACGTGTGAATTTTTTCAATTTTTTGACAACTTTCACATATCCCTCACAGCCCTCGAAGTCTTCCCATTGGATTAACATTAGTGGGCGTCGTCTATGTTCCATATATTATTGTAAAAGCTTATATTATTTGTGCAAATCTATGTTTTTGTCCAAATACATTGTCTGGTGATATTAAGCTGATATTAATAATATTATGCTTCAATACAGTTACGTGTATTTTATTGTTGGAATTACACTCTACTATACCTTTTCATTTGGTGTTCATGAGCAACCCATAGGCACCCCTAAAGGAAAACCAATTAATGTAGGGAGCATATGACATTTCAAAAAGTGTTATTTTGAGCCACCCTATTGGACACCCTGTATACTTACCGAGCTAAAGCCATGGTCACAGAAATCGTATAGGTCCACTTCATCGTACCAAAGGGTACTTCCGTCAAAGTTGTCATTTTGAGCTAAAATATTTGGATATTTATCATTAGCGGTTAGTCCTATTTCTATATTTGCTTCCACAGTCTTATGTTGTACATTGAATTGAGAATGAGTGAGCTACATGGTATATTTTGCAAGTAAGAAGTTGGATGCGACGTGTATATCACCATGTTCGGCACAATAAATTTTATCTCAATCTAAAGATTCTTTACGTGAATTAAACACGTTTTGCTGACCTTTACATTGCATTAATTGAGAGTTTAAAAGGTAAGAATACAACCAGGTTGTTTTTATTAGAACATTAAGTTTCCAGTCTGATTAAATGATAGATAAATAAATTTAATTCTTAACCCTCCCCTGTGCTATCGTTTAATTGAACTAACTTTTTTCTTTTCTCATCAAAACAAAGTTACGAATTCTATATAAATCGTATTTGTGGCATCTTTTTCTCTAATACCGAAGAGTGCAATTTCTATACAACATATAATGTTTTAGTGAAAAATAAGAACCTCTTCTAGTTTGGAATCTAAACCAGTCTATGATCTGTATATGACTTATACCATGTGATACAACTATTAAATGGATTACAAATAAGAAAATGTTTGCATTTAAATACCAGAGGTCCAGGCGAGATTTTCCCCAGCGTTAGTAGTTGATGAATCGCAACCTATTCCCGGAATATTTTGACTCTTTATATACGAACAATGTTGGCTAGGGTTTTGTATAGATAACAGATATTCAGCGTAGGCCTGGGCTTCACTGTTCAGAGTGGCGCTGAAAGTTCATTAGAAAATGTCTTTATTATTATATGTTCAACACGATTGGCCAATTCATAGTCACATGCCATAAAATAGATTACCTATTCCCTTTGACAGTTATATTCCCTCAAAAAACGAGAAGCGGGAACATGAATTTGAACTATTGACCGCTGACGTAACGATAGCAACTTCTATTACCCTTGGAAACATCTGCGCACCGTCACTGCGCACACAAAAAACAGAAAAATGAAGGTAATGCACAAACTTTAGCCATCTCCGTTCACCCTGACAGACGTGCGAGATACACTATCGGCAGCGTGGATAAAGTTCCCTAAGCTTAATACGTCTGTATTATTTCAAGTGTTACGATGATTTATTTCGGGCGTTAAACCGTGGTTGAATTTGCCAAGTGAGAGTCTTAGAAAATTTTGATGAAAAAATAATTAAGCATAACCATAACGTCACGACTTTCAATGGTAAGGGGAGGCATCAAAAGATCAATGTCTGAATAAATCTAGTTTGGGGGGGGGGGGGTCAAAGCCATTTCAGTTTGCTCTCCGACAAATTTCAACATTTTAATTTTTTGCAATTTCAACTCAAAATGCCTTGGAATGGTTTAAAAATAAAGACTTTACCAAATGCCTTCTTCACCTAGATGCATGCAACATGGAATATTATGCCTATTGTTGTTGGCACATGTTTTAAGAATTATAAATAAGTTATAGTACTGCCCCCATGAAAGTCCAAATTGAGTCGCTAAACATGTGAAAAGTCCGCGATCAACTTTCATTGTATTTAATTTTGAGGGGGAGGCAGGGGGGGGTCCAACTCAAAACTAGATTTATTCAGTTTCCTATCAGACATTAAACTTTTGATGCCTCCCCTAACAAATGACTTGGAGGGCAATATTGCCATCTTTAAATGGTCTTAAACCTATGGTAAAATATAAAATCATTAGTTACACTGACTCTCATATTAAATAACTTGAATTACACCCGATTATATAAATAACACATACTCAAGGGAAAGAGGGTAAGCACTGTGTATAGCCCTTTTAGCATTGTGTATGTTCAGTTGGTTGGTCCTATACTGGGAAAGACTGACCGATCTCTTTTCTACTCCACTATCTGAAAATGAACGAAAGCCGAAATCTTTATCAATTAGTGAATAAAAGATATGCTATTGGTATTCTCAATGCACGAGAACACAAAAAATGTTTTTGATAAGAAAAAACTCCAATTCGATTCTCACTGAGTAACATATACACTGGTGATCCACTCGATTACGCTGGTTACCGAAACGGTTCGTTTTGGTAACAAAATGTCGGAACGTCGAAGGTACGATTTTTCTTTTTTCCTTTTTTCACGCTTTGTAGGTAGAATCCCCACGACGTTTTTTCTCACAAACGTGTATCAGAATCATATGTTTTAGAAAATGTTCATGGTTGAGAAAAAATATCTCAGAAGACAAGAGAATCGTCGATTTAATTCCTCACTTAAGTTACATAAACGGTTTGGGTTAAAAGTTCAGATCTTAACTGTTTTTCGAACCATTTATGTAACTTAAGTGAAGAATTAAATATACAATTTTGTTGTCTTCTGAACTATTTGTTCGCACATATGTACATTTTCTTAAACATATGATACTGATACACGTTTGTGTTAAAAAATGCCGTGAGAATTCTGCCTACAACGTGTGAAATGAGGAAAAGAGAAAAATCGTACCTTCTATGTTCCGACATTTTGTTACCAAAACGAACCGTTTCGGTAGCCAGCGTAATCGAGTGGATCACCAGTGATAGAGTATAGTAAGAAGGAGACCAATGATGACAAAAACTAAGTTAGATAAAACGGTGTATTGGTCACAATCCTTTTGTTATTATTTTTTTTATTTTTTTAGATTGACAGTCTATTTAACGTTATACTATTAAATCCACGCTGCAATGGCCCCGTTGTATTTGATTTAAAGAACTTTGTACCAAATTAAAGGCATTCTTCATCCCACATTTCTGTATGTGTAATTAAATATTGTTAGGAGTTACCTAGGATTATAACAAAATAACCGTTTTACTTATACGAATCGAATTACTTAACTTAATGATCGTAATGTGCACATGCATTTGTACCAATGTTAACCTACCAGCCTCATTCTCAAGATGACCTTCTTCTAGTTCTGCCAATCGGTAGCTGGGATTGGCGGACACTGTCATTGCCATAGCAACAACCAAAGACACTAACATCATAGTATTCATTATGCACTTTGGAAATCTAAATACGTAAATCAATGAAATTATTTTCAATATAATTCAGACATATAGTCCTAAAATAAAGAAATAAATCATAATAAAATATAATGATTATTAATTGATCAACACATTTTAATGCGTATGGACATCATGTAAAATTGAGAACCTTATAGGAATAAAAAGCCAATTTTCTCGTGGAATATGGACAGATGATAAATGTAGATGTCACATTTCTAACAACTCATTTAAAAGTTCACGGAAGTAGAAGTTTTGAAACATCATTGGAGACTCATTTGTGAAATTCCACCAAACACGAAGAACATTCCATCCATCAATATTTGAGTTATTTACAAGACTAACGGATGGACTGACAGCGATGAAATTAAATTTGTATTGTAATTGTAAATTGTATCGTTAACTCGAAAGAATCTTTGCTTTTTGAATCATCTATGTTAAAAGTCAATGCCTGTCTACGGGAACAGACAATCTCACTGTAAATCATAGTATAGTATATTACGAAATATCTAAACCTCGTGACATCACTACTTCACGTTTACATTAGGGAGGTTTTGAGAGCCTGTACGCAAGAGTGTAATATTTTAACCCCCGGGGATTACTGTCCTGCTCTCAATTCACTTTCCCAGGGACCTAATTACAATTATTTTCAATGTACCTTTTCCTAAAGCGGCAAAGTAAAACTACAATTGGGAGAACTTATCCATCGAGGACCATAATTATACACGTTCACGTACAAGCTTTAATTAAAATAGTGTATCTAAACCTCCCCATTGATTTACAATTATTACCTGTAAGGAAGTAGTACTGAATTAAGAAAAGTTGTAAATTCTTTGAAAATACGACTGAAAAATAATGTATCCCAACTATTAATTCTAAGACCGCACTTACCTTTCAATGTCCTGAAAGCTCGTCAAAGTATGATGTGTACTGCAATCACCCTACCATCTATATACTATTTCTCCCCATTGATACTTCATCGGCCTATTGGAGATCATTGTTGCATGACACCCACATGTTACTATTAATTTAATAACAAATTAATTGAATAAACTTTACAATAAACTAAGAATTATTAAAATATGAATAAAGACGCCACGTATCAATAACAATATATCGAGTGTCCCAAAAATAAGACATTTTTGACATGTATTTTCTCGGATGAATCAAATTCACTGAAAAGTTTGTAGAAAATACCACATGGCTATGGGTATTGTTAGCAAGGTACAAAAATATGAAAAAGATCAAGTAAATGTTTTGTGAGTACTAAGAAATACAAGCATGTCAATAGATCCCATACCGGAGCAGTACAATGAGAACTTCATAGCATTTGTACCAAAAGATGGTTTTTGAAAACCCGTTTTGAAAGAAAAATGACGTCATTTGTATTATGGACGCTGGTTGACATGTATCATAATACATTTGAACTTATGATTTACCAAATTTAAGATGATTAAATTCCTATCCGCTGGTATATAATATGACATGTTTTCGTCAATAAAATTTTGAAATACGTGTGTCCCATTTTTTGGACCACCCTGTATTTTTGCAACTTGCTAATGATACTCTTTGTACAAAGTTTCAGTGACTTTGGTTCATCAATTGCCGAGAAAATACTTGTCAAAAGTGTCTCATATTTTGGGACACCCGATATATAACTCGAATATTGAATTAAGAAAATATTCAATTTCGCCATTTATAAAATTATAAAAGAAGCAATCCATACATCTTTTTAAAGTTAAAATTATTAATTTGTCAGTAAAATGTTTTTAACACACAAATGAAAATACGACAAAAAATAAGATTAATAGGTAATAAAACGGATGACAAATATGACCAGACATTTTGAATAGAAAGAGGATTAAATACTAAATGTTAAATTGGATGTAATTCTATTAAGATACTTTTCCAATGTCTGGTTGATTGATGCATTTGTTGAATTAGTTGTTAAAAACCTTTGATAGATTCTTCATCTTTGTAGCAGAAAAAACTAATAATATATCAGGTGATGTTAATTTCATTCATACTGAAGTCACTACATTTTTTATAAAATAATATCTTTAATATCCAATATCATTGCTAGAGGAAAAACTAATAGATATTTAAAATTATCTAGACATTTCTTTTAAGAGACGATTCGAAGTCAAATTTAAAGATGGTTTCATAATTCATAGTATTAAGAAATACGTATAGGAAGTGCTATGAACCGAATTGCAATACCGGTGTAAAGGGTAGGTGGTCCTATCAAATTTTGGTCCTACTCTCTATTGATTTAAATGGTGACCTAATTACAATTATTTTCCTTATTATTTATACACAGTCGGGGTCAGTAAGGGCCGTAAGGAAAGGGGAACATAATCCCCAGGGGACCATAATTTCTTTTACACAGGGGCATGTTTCAATTTTTGGCGTAAGGGGTTCTTAACATGAGAAAATCTCAATTGTTAATCACGTCACGTGACTAAGTATGCCCCAGCATTGGACTTAGATTCTCTAAAACTCTTTGACTGGCTCTTTGAGTAACTGAAATATCAGTGACATATGTTGCTCAATTCACACAATTATGCGTGTAATATGTGTAATTTTCCTATAACTTTGTATGCTTCAATAGAAATAAGGCAAAAGCAAGCAAAACGTGAAAATGTTCTGGTATTTTAGAGGTTTAAAACAAGCGTATTTTGTGTACGTACGAGAGCATTAAATATTAAGTTCGTTTTCGAAGAGCGCACACGCTCGTGGAGTTCAGAGTGAGCTGAAGTCGCAATAAAAGTGAATATGGGTTACATGTTGTATACATTTTGGCCCATTTATTATTGGTCATACTTATACCATGATCTCGTTTGCTCCCATCTTCAACTAGGGCACCCGGCTGGTGAGTATTTTGTTCAAACACAGAATACTTCAATTTTAAAAAGGCATTAACATGACAAAATGTCACCACCTAGTAGCTCACATTATTATGAGTTCAATCTAAAGTCAGATTTTAGTTTCTGATAACTTGTAGATGATTTTGAAATAAGAAATTGGTCAATTTGAAGCAAGTTGAAAAAGACCTTTTTGACCTTGAGAATGTCATTGCTTGAAGGTCAAATCTATAATCAGATTTGTACTTTTGAGAACTTGAAGATGATTTTAAAAAACAATTACATGATTCGAAAAAAGTTGAAAAATACCCTTTTGACCTCTTTTGACCTTGAGAAGGTCATTGAAGGTCAAATCTCAAATCTAAAGTCAGATTTGAACATCTGATAACTTGTAGATGATTTTGAAAAAAGGTCAATTTGAAGCAAGTTGAAAAATGCCTTTTTGACCTTGAAGAGGTCATCGAAGGTCAAATCTTAAATCATCCTCCTAAGCAGGTATCCAGAATCCGTACCTCCTTCTCCCCCCTGCTATAACCAATTTGGAAGCGCCCGATTAAACTGAGTCACGTGATCTAATTATGACAAATGACATATACATGATTCATGTCGCAGTGTTGCGACAGCCAATCAGATTGCGAGTTTTTAATCGGGGAAATGCTAACTGCTTATCTCAGGGTGTAAAAAGAAAGAATATATTCTGAATTTTGAAGCCCTGTGATAGGAGGATGATCTTAAATATAAAGTCAAATTTGAACTTCTGGAAACTTGTAGATGATTTT